TAATTAGGTGGAAGACAGCATGTTTACATCTTTACACATGCAAGGGATTAATGCATAAACACACAGGCATACATGGTTCAAGATGGTTGTGAAAACTGAGAGTTGAAGATCACATTCTCATAGTAGTTTTCATGTAAGTGATTTCAGCTCAACAATCCAGTTCCGCAAACACTCAGAAACATGTCAACATCTTGCCTTGCCTACTTTTCACAGTGATTGGTTGCCACCTGGTGTTTTTCACTTGATATTTGCATAAGGAAAACAAAGTCTGCTACTCTTAATGCTTTCCTCATGCCACTTTCAATCCCCTAATGCATAGCGTGACAGTTTACGCTCATCTTCCATATGAATGATTGAAAATACTCGCTGCACTCTCAGTGTGCTAGTGGAAATGTGTCGTAACTTTAACAAAAGTGAAACTGTGGTGAGAGCTGTGCATAAGGATTGGAGACTGAGGGGCATTTACACTAGTGCATTTCTGTTGTAAAGTCATTTTAGATTGAAAACACTCCTCATCCAGACTAGCGTTTTTAATTGCATTTTAGAAAAATGATCCCCGACAACATTATACAGCCTAAAAGAGATGACATGTGACATTTAAGCTCACTGGTCATGCGCATATTTACCGGCATCAGTACCTGCAGTCTACTGGTCGTGTAATGGTCATATGACCAGGACTTGCTGAATATGGAAACGATACACAGTAGCCCGAAAGACCAGAAACAGAACGTGCAGCATTATTGAGATGCTGGAGTAGGAAATGCATTAGTGTAAACGCTACCCGATGAGATCAAACAGAAAATCATTATTTTTTTAGGGTTTCATAGTGTCACCCATGACTTTTCTACGCTCAAAAAAAAGTTCTGCTGCTTGTTCAAACTACTCATTTACAATTAGTGAAACCAACACAATTCTTACGTTTTTTCAAATTGTTTTATGTTCAATCCACTTAAATTTGTAAAATGATGAAGTTAATAGATTTGTGTGGGGACAACAAAAGAACTAAGAACTAACTCTTTAACAGAGTATCACGACTCTTTTTTTGTTAAATACATGATGACACATTAGTAACAAATATTATACAAAATACAGATCACGTTAAAGGAAAATGGGAACTAGAACTAAATACCATTATTGAGGATAAGGTCTGGATTAAGTTATGTGAAGGATGTCATAAAGGAATTAATAGTCAATTATGAAAGAAATTAGATTGGAAAGTAAAAATGAGGTACTTTAATACTCCTTTTGTAATTTCTACATATGTAAAAGGACCATCTGTTGCTTTGTGTTGGAGAAAATCTGGTAAAGATGATCAGACCCACATTTTTTGGGACTGTCTTAAGATTCAAGAATTTTGGAAAAATGTTTGAAAATAAATAGTTAATGACTGCATGTCTACAAATGAAGACTGATATTTTTCTGAACAGGTGGAAAAGTATAACGACATATTTAGATATGTATATTTAGAGGTTAGACGACGCAGTAGGTAGTGCTGTCAACTCACAGCAAGAAGGTTGCTGATTCGAGCCTCGGCAGGGTCAGTTGGCATTTCTGTGGAGTTTGCAAGTTCTCCCTGCGTTCGCGTTCACTGGTTCATTCCGCTGTGGCGACCCCGGATTGGTAAAGGGACTAAGCCAAGGAGAAAATGAATGAAGGAATGAATTTAGAGATTACTTTGCCTATCAACACAGTAATTTGAGGTAATTACATTGTAACACAATGTAACTTGATGTACAAATGTATCCCCTGAAAAGTAATTATGACGCAATACCTTTTATTTATTTATTTATTTTAATTACTTTCTTTTAATAGATTTTTTATAATTTCATTACTATTTTATCTAATTCCTCCTTTGTAAGGGGTTAAATGGTTGGTAAAGGGTTCAGTAAAAAAAAAAACTTTGAAAAATCTTAAGTAAATTAAATAAAATTAAAATTAAAAATTAAAATTAAAATAAATACATAAATAAATAAATAAATAATGACACATTTTTTTATGTCCTGCGATATCGTTCATCTCAGGTTTTATCTTTTAAGTTTTAAGACATGCCAAGCACCCTATACTTTGTTTGTTTTACGTCCTGATATGGAAAATCATCAAATTTAATAGGGTGTCTTAACATTTTCACTTGACTGTATGTTAGGGCACAGAACCCAAAGCACCAAAACCCTCCCCCTTATATAAAGTGACATTATTCAACAAAAACAAACATTACATTGGGATATTTATTAGAGTGGTTAAATCCACTTTAATTAGGGAAATAACGCTCATCAATCCCTATGGAAGGACTTTTAGTTTATCATCACTTTCTAGAGCAACCCCTTATTTTCAACACGTGGGCAAACACCAACAGGCTTTTCTACTGGAACGTCGTCACCCTGATTGTCAAGTGTTTTTCCCGTTCGCTGAGACAAAAGAAAAACCCCCAATGCTACAATGTTTTTGTTTTTTTTTTCCAGCCGCGTGCTGCTGAAACATTCGCACAGTTATTGGCTGAGCAGAACACTTTGAGGTTATACATATATAGATACTGTACGTTCCAATAAACGGCTGATTGCTTTTTCGAGAGGCCCGCAGAAGAGCCCGGCTGATTTTTCCTAGTCTGCTAATGCTGAAATATAATGGCACAATCTTCACGAGCACTGTAGGCGTCCATTTCAGACGGTCTTCGACACCTCCCTGCAGATATGCACAGTTGTGTAGCGGCAGGAACGCAAAAAATAAGTCGCCGCCGGGAATTCAAAGTGCAATACGTAACTGCTGAAGCCAGCAGGCCGGTTATGGTACTGCAAACAACAATCCTATGCAACTTCTACGGTCACAAACAGAGTCCAGAATTAATGTTCGCCAGGTTCACAGCTACTGGTGTGTAAAAAAAAAAAAAAAAAAAAAAAAAAAAAGCATTTTGTTTTATTCAAAATCCTGTAATTTCAATCATATGAAGATGTTTCACGTTAAAAAGAAACTAGGGAAGGTTTTTGCATATAAAAAACAAAACAAAAATATTTCACATTTATATTAGCAAAGGGAAGAATAATTATCCAAGCTTTTTTTTTTATCAGCAGGGAAGTAGTATGATTTTAATCTGATGCTTTGATTAGCATGCTACACTTTCAGAAGACTCTTGACACAATAAAAAGTGCTGTTTCTATGTGTATTGCACTATTTTTGTGTGTCTCAGACACTTTTCAGATGACATGAAATTAAAATAACTTATTTAAAAAATGTTATTAAAAAAAACTATTTTAAATTAAAATGTTAAGACTCCTTGTGTTTTGTTCAATTCTATTGCACACTGTCCTAAGCTGTTTTAGACACACAAACACATTTTATGTAAATGCAGATATTACTTTATTTTGATGGTCCCTTTAAAACATTTTGTTGATTACAAGTTACACTGAAACTATATGGCAACTGATTCTCATTAGAGTTTTAGTAAACTGTTAGGTTGGTGTTAGGGTTAGTCTAAGCTGACATGTAGTTGCAAAGTTTCTTATAGTCAGTTGAATGTCCGCTGGTGAAGCAGTGTCAGCGGATATTAAGCAGACAGACTACTAATACTCAAATGAGAACTAATTGGTATGTAGATGCAATGTAACAGTCAACAAAGTGTGCAAAAGGCACAATCAAAATAAAGTCATACCAAAATGCCTAAATTGAAATGGTCCAACTTTTTGGTTTCCAATTGAAAAGCAGATTTACATGGGTATACAGCTCTAGCAAAATAATAATAGACCACTTCAAAGTTATTGTGTCTCAGTGTGTTTATGTGTATATACACATATATAACACATATACACTTGCCCTCAATAGTTAGAACATAAAAACTTAATACTGACCTAAAAAAAAAACTTATTTAGTGAGCAGATATCTTTGATTAAATACATTTTTGTATGCACTTTTTTATATTGGTTATCCTTAAAATTAATCATGCACAGAAACCTTGCACACTGAGTTCAATGTGTATTAATAAATCCACTGCAATCAATTGCAAAGCCGAGTCTTCACACAGTGATGATTTGCTGGAAATGTCAATTAAATTGAAATTATCCTGAACAGAGACTGACATTATGTCAAATGTAGTGAGACACACACCAAATAGTGGCTTGGGAAAGGTGTGCTGCATTCACCAGGCAACAAAACCAATATACAACCGGCTACACCAGTGTTTCTCAAACACCCGTCACAATCTGTCTTTATATTTCACACTTTGTTTGTCCTAAAGTGCTCCATGCCGAGAGTAAAAGTTAACAAATTGGTCAGATGGCATTTCATATTTTTGCTCAAGTTTTTTAAAATGTGGCTCGGAATAGTCAAGACACCTCTCAAAACTGTTGCTACAGATGAGAAAAGAATTTATAAAATCAGAAAAAAATCCTTGGATTAGTATTTTTCTGATTTTCTTAATTTTTCTGAGACATTTTTAATTTTTTTTATGTTCCAGAGACTTATTTCAGTATGTTGATGTACAGCTGAAGGCAAAATGATTAGCCCTCCTGTGATTTTTTTTTTCTTTATTAAATATTTCCTAAATGTTGTTTAACAGCAGGGAAAGTTTCACAGTATGTCTGATAATATTTTTTCTTCTGGGGAAAGTCTTATTTGTTTTGTTTTTTTTGGCTAGAATAAAAGCAGTTTTTTGTTTTTTTTTAACATTTTAAGGACAAAACTATTAGCCCCTTTAAGCTTTTTTTTTTTTTTTTTTTTTGATAGTCTACAGAACAAACCATCGTTATACAATAACTTGCCTAATTACCCTAACCTGCCTAGTCAACCTAATTAACCTAGTTAAGTCTTTAAATGTCACTTTAAGCTGTATAGAAGTGTCTTAAAAATATCTAGTCAAATAATGTTTACTGTCATCATGGCAAAGATAAAAGAAATCAATTATTAGAAATGAGTTATTAAAACTATTATGTTTTGTTAAAATATTCTCTCCATTAAACAGAAACTGGGGAAAATACAGGGGGGCTAATAATTCTGACTTCAGCTGAAACTAAATATAGAGTAGGGGGCGGAGCTTTCTTTTTGCGCATCATTCCCTAATATCAAACTAGCGGTAAGAGGGGCGTGGCTAAGAATATTGTGGCTGAAGCTCTCAATCTGACATCATCAGTAAAGCACCACCACTGCAAACACTGAAGCAAATGCTCAGACTTTGATTTAAGATTACCGAAACAATTTTCCAATGGATTACCTTGCACAACAATGTGTGCTTGTAAAATAAACATGGTAAATTTTGACTTCATGCAACATTTAACAACAAAATTTTTTAGACTCAGTGTGCAATGAATGTAAAATAATTTCTTATAATAAACACGTCGTCATTTGTCAACAAGACCTACCAAATAGCTATCATTTTTTTTAAATATACTTAGTAAAATGCGGCAAATAGTTGATTTGTGTTAATTCTGGACCCTGATGACAACCGTAAAAGTTCGAACTTTCCATTTGAGCTCCGCAGGACCGCACCTACATAAAAGAAATAAGTTAAGAAGTGAGAGAGAATTCGCTTCCCGTCACACTTTCCCTGGAGAGAGCGAGGCAGTGAACATTTCGTTATGATCCTGACCTCTTATATATCCTGCAAAGAAGACTTCCTGAAAGAAGGAGAAACCGAGAGGCAAAAATTCACGATCCGAGTGTGAGATGGCAGGGTGATGTGTGGCGTGACGTTTTTTAAGTGAACGCGTTTCATCATCAGTTTGAACGCAGCACCTCCTTAATGAGGAGGAGAAGGAAGAGGGGAATGTTGGGTTAACAGTCTTCAGAAATCTCCGCGTTCACTTAGGTCATCCGTGACCGGGCCAGACTCCTAACAGTTCTGTTTTGGCTGTATTTCAGTAACCCCACATTTCTCCGTTCAGCATCCCCCCCACTGACAACAGCGCTGCGTGTTTCACTCATCATCCAGCACTTCTGTCTTGATGTCGCTGGCTGATCCGCCTTGTCGGGCCAGCGCCAAAATGCTGTGGTTGACGGCGGCCATCTCTACTGCCAGAGCGATGGGGTCCTGGTGCTCATTCGGGCCAGTGTTGTCGTCCTGTAGGGAAGCAGAGAACTAGAGATGGGTCTGAAGCCCTCTGCTTTTGCCTCGCAAACCTGTTTTGAGTGACTTTGTGTCATTATTAGACAAAAGGAGCATGAACAGTTCAATCAACACACCGTATTTAGGGGGCCATATCAGTTCATGGCCGATATTAGAAAGTGTGGGTAGACTTTAAAGTAGTGCTGTTAGATTATAATTGTATATTTACATGTTTTGTATATTTAGAATTGTTAATAAATAAATAAAAAAACAAGATTAAATAACTAAGTATAAAATATGTACAAATAATGCTAAATAAACACAAATTTAATTTAAAAAGTACAATTAATTAATTAGTTAATTAATGAAAAAACTTTTGATTTTGGCCAGCTATATACATTTTAATTAAAATTTAATTAATTAAAAATTTAAATGCAAAATCTATTTATAAAACATAATAAATTCAAATTAAAAACAGTTACCATTGATACAAAAATAAAACTGATCCAATAAAAAATATAAAAATAAATAAAAATAAGAAAATATTTTTTTTAAAAAGAAAAAGAAAAATATAGGCCAGCTGCATACATTAATTATAATTTAACTAATCAAATTTTTTTAATTCAAAACCTATTAATAAAACTTATTGATTGAGAAATATTTTCATTTAGCTTTATGGAGAAAACAAATACAATATATATTTTAAATAAATATACTAAAATAAAATGTATTATATTAAAATATGTTTAAATTAAAAACAAGTTACCCACTACTGACACAAACACTGATTCAATTAAAAAAGATTATTAAATGAAAAATAAAAACAAATTTATTTTAAAATAGAAAAAAATATATAGGCAAGCTATATACATTTTAATTAAAGTTTAATTCATAAAAAAATTATATAAAACCTATTAATACAATTTATTAATTGAGAAATATTGCAAGAGAAATATTTTTCATTTTCTTTTAGCTTTTTGTAAAAAAAACAACTAAAATGAAAATTTTTTAAAATATGTATCAAATAAAAAATTATTAAACCATAATTTTTTTTAAAAGTTACCCAATAACACAAAGATAATACTGATTCGATTCCATTAAAAAGAATAAATAAATAAATAGAAAAGGAAATAAATTATTTAATGAAAAACTAAATATTTTTTTCTATTTAATTAATTTCAATTAACTAAAAACCTATTAATAAATGATAATAATAGATAAGTATTTCTTATTTTCCTTTAGCTTTTATGTATAAAAAACGAATAAAATAAAAAATGTAAAAAAATAAATATATTAAAATAAAATGCATTAGATTAAAATATATAAACGGTTACCCATTGATACTAGGATAAGATTGCATCAATAAAAAAAGTAAAATAAATAAACAAAAATAGATATCGTATAGGAATATAGATCAAGTAGAAAAAAGGAAAAATTTTCATTTGAAAACAAGAAAAAAGAAGCCAAATTAAAATTTATAAATTAATAATCCTGCTATAAACATTATAATTAAACTAAGACTTTAAATAAAACCTATTAACAAAAGTATTATTTAAAAATAAAAATGTTTATTATAACTCAACAAAACAATTTTTTCATCTTAATTTAGCGTTACTTAAAAATAAAACCTAAATATTCAGAAATAAATATTCAGAAAAAAAATTTTATATTCTAAAGAAATAATCACAAACAAATCCCTTACCATTCCCAAAACTTGGTCAGCAGCTACCGGTTCACCGTAGTCATTTCCATCGATCTCGTCGCTGTTAGAATGACCTCCCGGGCTTTGGACATCAATCCCATGACTCTCCAGGATTGCTGCTTCTTCGAAAAAAACAGACCTTGCCATAACATATCTGAGCTCATCAGCACATACAGTAAGCCATTCTTAAAAAAATAACATTTCTTTTTTTCTTCAATAAATTCCATCATTCTCAGCAAATGCAAATCTGAAATGAGGCGGCTGCAGAACAGCGATAACAATGCTGAAATAATAAAGCCATTGTCCATATTCAGAATGCATTGTTGCGTGTAATTCCAGCTTTATGGGTCCCCAGAGGGCTTCAACATTACCTATGTTGGCTCTTCTCTTAATTTCCTTCCGTCTGTTGGCGAACCAGTTGTAAACTTTCAGAGACGTGACCCTCTCAAGATCTGAAAGCTTCTTCCCTTAATCAAATAACAGCAGAGCTCATCAATAATGTCTGGGGCCACGATAACAGCTATTTATACGTGCATTCATCTTCTTTATAGAGCTTCTTGTTTAAATATCCTACCTGGTTTCTGAATTACTGCATTGCAGGCGTTGGCAATTTCCTCTCGTTTGGCTTCGTCCGGGTACTGGTTGTCATTGAAGTAACTGGAGGAGAATATAAAAGCAAAAATTGACACATTTTGTAGCTTTAAGTACTAGCTTGCATTCAGGCTTTGTTTAACCAAGATCCACTATTGACTGTTTTATGATGGTTATTTCAGTAGTCAATGCTATCTCTTAACCCACACCCTTACTATAAGTATACAATGCTTCATTTTGAGTGCTGTAAATAAAATAAAAAAACAAGTGATTGATCCATGTAGTCTAATGGATCTGTCAGTTAAGACGATTGATTTATTTATTTATTTTTACAAATATTCAGTAATAATAAAATACATCAACTAGTAGATAAATTAACATTTTATAAACAGATTGACATTAACTCTTCTACCAATTTTTTTTTTAACAGTAATGCGTTCAGTATAATTAACTATTAGTATATTTTTACACCTCGCTGGGTCGAACCTCGGCTCAGTTGGCATTTCTGTAAGGAGTTTGCATGTTCTCCCTGCCTTCGCGTGGGTTTCCTCCGGGTGCTCCGGTTTCCCCCACAGTCCAAAGACATGTGATACAGGTGAATTGGGTAGGCTAAATTGTCCATAGTGTATGAGTGTGTGTGTGATTGTGTGTGTGGATGTTTCCCAGAGAAGGTTGCGGCTGGAAGGGCATCTGCTGAGTAAAAACTTGCTGGATAAGTTGGCGGTTCATTCCGCTGTGGTGACCCTGGATTAATAAAGGGACTAAGCCGACAAGCAAATGAATGAATGAATGAATATATTTTTACACCATTAAATTGATCCATTAATGCATTTGTTATATTATAATAATCAGTGTTTGGCAAGCTACTTGGAAAATGTAGTTTAGCTAGATTCAAGCTATTTTTAATGTTTTGTCATAGTCAATAAAATTTCCAAATAAACATATGAAGCATAATTATTATGTTCAGTTAAACAGCAAAAACGAAAAATTCATCAGAGACATCAGAGATTAACATTTAAAATACTATACAGTAAAGGGAAAAATATAGGAAAGTGTATTATAGTGTATATGTGTGTGTGTGTGTGTGTGTGTGTGTGTGTGTGTGTATATATTGTGTGTATAAATAAATATACACACACACACACACACACACACACACACACACACACATATATATATATGGTCACACTTTACAATAAGGCTCATTAGTTAATGTTAAGTAATGCATTTACTAACATGAACAAACACTGAACAATAAATTTACTACAGTATTTATTCATGTTAATAAACGTTAGTTAATGAAAATACAGTAGTTCATTATTAGTTAATGTTAACTCATGGTGCATTAACTAATGTTAACAAGCATGGACTTGAACGTTAATAATGCATTAGTAAATATTCAAATATGATTAACAAATGTTGTACAAGTGTTGTTCATGATTAGTTCATGTTAGTAAATGCAATAACTAATGAACCTTATAGTAAAGTGTTACCATATATATATATATATATATATATATATATAAACATTATAGTATTTTGTGTTTTTATTAAATTATTTATTGAATAATCTTTTTATTGAGATGTCAAAAATATGACGATATATCATCACAATCATAATTACATATTGTTTAAATTGTACAGGTTGTTTAAATTAGTAACAGATTTTTTTCTAAAAAACATTAGGAAAAAATTGTTTAGAATACAAATCATTTATAGAAGGTATGCACCAGATCATCAATATGACAATGGCTTGTTTAAATAAATCTTTGGAAATAGGGGGAATATGTAGATAGGCGAAGTCAATGTCAGTTTATTACGTCTTTTCCTGTTTCATTTAATAAATTGCTGAAATTTGAATTTGTAATAGGATATATAAAAGTGTCCACATTTTCTCAAAAACAGTAAGTTTGCCTTTTAACATCTTTTGAAATCTTTTCCATAGCTGAACAGAAGGATATATTATTGATCCACTTTACTATAGATGGCCTTTCCATTTTCCTCCAGTACAAAGCTATTAGACGCTTTGCTTGGAGTATACTTATATCGATAAGTTTACAAGTACTGCTGGGGAAGTCAATATCTACACATGTAATTCCCAAAACAAACATTTCCGGTTTTATGGGCAGGTTTATAGATACCTTTCAAAAATGAACATAGCCACCTCTTTCCAAAATTCCTGTACCTTCGGGCAATCCCACATCCAGTGCAAAAGTGTACCCTTTTCAACTGAGCATTTGATGCATGTGTCTGGGATACTCTGTTTAATTTTATTTAACCTGACTGGATTGATGTATGTTCTCGTAATTCAGTTGTACTGTATTGATTTAAGATTGCTGTTAAATGTTGATTGAGCTTTTGTACATATTTCCTCCCATTTATCCAGTGGAATATTTACATTTTATTCTTCTCTTAAGAAAGAGAATTTAAATTCTGATGATTCTGTCGAGCATGATTTTAACATCTTATAGAACATAGATACTAAACCTTTTGATTGAGCAGGTTTTGATAAGAGGTGTTTTCTAAGCTTTGCCTCTAGATGAGTAGAAAGATTGCTCATAAATATTAATATTATGTAAGACATAATAAATATCAATAATGTCCAATAATTTATAAGAGAATACATGTTGAAAGAGGGTCATATTATTGCAAAGCGTTTTAAAATGTTTAAGGATGGTCTTTTCAGAATAAAAGGGATCCATTTTCCAGAATACCTCATAAAAGTCAGACCCTGAGCATCAGTTAATGGTCTCACCTCTCCATGACGGCCAGACACTCTTTCCTCCAGGTGAAGCGGCTGCCGCGCCGCAGGCGGAAGCTGCCCTGCGTGCTGCTGATGGGTGGAGGAGTCTGACGCCACTCCACAATGTCCTCCAGGGCCATCGGTGTGGGACGCATCGCTAGAGTCGCACCTGAGACACAAAAATCATCACATCAGCTCAGGTGAAGCATGAGGACACACTGAAGATCAAGCAGATGATCATGAAAATGTTCTGGGTTTAGAGTCATGACCGTTTAGTTAAATCACTGAATGTCTGATTTCTTCCTTAAGAACAAAATAAAGGAGACGGGAGACTGAGATGAAGGAGTCTATAGAGATTTTGCCTGCATTTAAAACTTTATGCTTATGAGCTAGTTATGTGTATTTAAAAAAGCAGCACTGTATTGATATTATTCATTCTAGATAGGGCTAGCTACAGGGTCACGGAATATACAGCTGAAGTCAGAATTTTTAGCCCCCCCCTGTTTATTTTTTGCCCAATTTCTGTTTAACGGATAGAAGACTTTTGTAAACATAATAGCTTTAATAACTCATTTCTTATAACTGATTAATTTTACCGTTGTCATGATGTAAGTGAATAATATTTGACTAAACATTTTTTAGATCACTTCTATACAGCTTAAAGTGACATTTAAAAGCTTAACTATGTTAATTAGGTTAACTAGGCAGGTTAGGGTAATTAGGCAAGTTTTTGTATAATGATAGTTTGTTCTGTAAAAAAAAAATCTGCTTTTATTCTAGCCGAAATAAAACAAATAAGACTTTGTCCAGAAGAAAAAATATTACCAGACATACAGTGAAAGTTTCCTTGCTCTGGGAAATATTTAAAAAAAGAAAAAAAATTAAAAGGGGTGCTAATAATTCTGACTCTATATATTTTTTTATTTATGTAGAGCTCTAATATTTCAGAAATAGGCTCTATGATTCACAGAATCAAGTCTTTAAGATGTAATTCGCCGTATGATACAGAACACAATGGAATTTGGTAAATTTTTTGATAATTAATTCAACAATTAACTCTACATTCTTGGCAACTCATTAAAATAAATGTTTAACCTGAAGAAAATACATGACAGAAAAATAGACAGGTTAATACAAATGTATATATAAAAAATTATAATAACAATAATGTATTTTTATTATTATTATTTAGTATCTGAGGAAATAAAGATTTTTTTTTCTTCATTGCTGTAAATTTTAACAGGAATAAACAGAATTTGAGAAAAAAATATTTCAGTGTAAAAATATTAAACTTTAAACAGTTTCTTGATTTCAACTAATCAATAATTAATATTACACAAACTGAATCCAGATTTGTAAAAAAATAAATAAATGGTTGCCATTCCTGGAGCATGTCAAATCTCTGCAACTTAAGGCAGTTAGTGTCGAATTAATAGTTGCTCATCTTGCACTTTTAGGGCTCTATTTTGACGATTTAGGCGCAAAGTCCAAAGCGCAGGGTGCAAAAGCATTATGGCCGTGTCAGAATCCACTTTAGCTATTTAAAGGACGGAATAATCTGCTCTGCGCCGTAGCGCATGGTCTAACAGGGTTGAGCGTTTTTTTCTTAATGAGTTATAGGTGAGTTTTGAGAATAAACCAATCAGAGTATCATCTCCCATTACCTTTATGAGTCAGTTGCGTCACACATTAGTTAAATACATTTTTAGTTGTAGTACACATTAGTTAAATACACATTAGTAAATAGCATTTGCTATTTACATGGCGGACTTTGTAATTGGAAAAACTGAGCACTTCACAAGCGAGAAAACAGTTAAACAGACCATCTGCAACGAGAGAATGAGAGATGAGCCTCCTCATTTATTTTCACTTACACTCTCGTTCGTGGATAAGGAAACTTTTTGTACGCACAGGCATCCATTAGGATGCTAAATTTTAGATCAACTATTTTTTTAATGATAAGCTCCATTAACAAGAATAATACAAACAAAGATAATCATGAAAAATGAGCATTGACAATAAATTAAATGAACACATTAAAATTAAAGCCCAAGTAGAAATCTTCATGGAACTACATTTTGACCAACACTAATGTCTTCTGATTTAAAGTGCATTTTGAGAGTCAAATTTAAAGTTATTGCTGGATGACAGACGCGCCAGTAAGATGTTCTGCTGGGGTCAATGAAATTACCAGGTGTCGTTTTCTCCAGTTGGTACCAGCGGTAGAAAGCTCTTTTCTTCTGCTCGCTGAGGTCTGAGCCCTGCTGGAGAAGCCAATGAGAGATCCTGCTCTGACTGATACCTGCAGAGAATTAAACGCACTCTGACTGCATATTCCTCTCTCAGGCCTGCCACGACAAATCCCACAACCTTAACAAACAACAGCCATAAAGCTGACACTTTTGATTAAATGTTACTAGAAGAACATGTAGCCCAGTGCTTTGTTGTGGCACAGCGAAATACTAAAGTAAAATGCTCTGTTTTCTAATGACACTAAACAACTAAAGGACATTTTTTTTATTAAGCAAAGCCATGTATTTGCAGTGTATTTACAGTGTATTTGGAAGCAAAAAGCTTAAAGCAGAATTACTGACCTGTCACTTGTGCAACTACAGCCTGTGATATTCGCCGGTTCCCCAAGAACGCTTTAATCTCTTCTTTAATTATAGCACTGTCCATTCTGCAACAACAGAGAGAGAGATTAAAAAAGACATTACATGAAAAAAGTCAATGCTATTTTTGCTCACATTTCTAAAAGAGCCATTTATTACTACAACAGCGCTTCTAGTGTGTATATTTAGCTGTATTTTGGCATATGAACAAACAGTAGGTGTTAAAAACACTAATTGAAGTCTAACAAAATGTAGACATACAGTTTTACTTCAGATATGACCAAGGTTAATGAGCGCTTGGTTATTTAGGTGATTTTAAAGGGGTGGTCCACTACGATATCCTATTTTAAACTTTAGTTGATGTGTAATGTAGCTGTGTGAACATAAACAACATCTCTGAATCTAAGACGTTCAAAGTTCAATGCATAGGAAGACAGTAGCTTTTACAGAATTGAGCTTAGTAAAGCTTAGCATATACATCCGGGTTAGCGAGATCACAAATGTTTCAGGTTCACGGCATTTACCATGCGCATACACCTCGCATAGTGAAGGGGTGTGGCCAGAGGTGCTGTAATGTTACAACAGAGCAAGCTAAAATGTAGTCCAAACGCTGCTATTTCCACAGAGCTTGTTCTGTTCCTGTATTTAGGCAAAGGACGTGACGCAAAGAGAGAATTGCTTACAGTTTAGTTTTAATCATGTTCCAGAGAATTATAAAAAGTATATAGCTAGCATTTGACAAAGGACAGCTTCCAGAATCTCTCCCAGTTCAGCGCTGGATTTAGCTAAAAACTTGTTATAGAAGGAGCAGCTCCAACCATAACAGACGAAGCTGTGGATTGTGGGTTTTTTAATTTGTTCAAATAAATCTATTACATGCACAGTTTCAAGCGTTAACAGCATGTTGTAGCAAGGACATAAACAAGGATGTAAACAACGGGAAATGCTGTTTGGAATTGCTAACAGTTTAGCTACATATATATGAAAGACACTCGTCAGATTTTATTTTAGAGAGCAGGCATAAGGTTCATCCGTGTCCTTTTCATTTTCTGTCTGATTCAGGCTTCAAACTGATAAGCTAACAGCTACACTGACTGACTGTATTTACACAGCAAAGGCACAGCGCATGCTATAAGGGTCTTGATGCTTTTCCTGGTGACATGGAGCCGATCCACAAATCACAGCGCATTATGTTAGCTGACCAATCAGAGCCTCATGAGGATGAACTTTTGCAGAACTTAGAAAATATGAAAGCTGTTTTCATGTTAGCTGAGTAGCTGTATATATTCAAAGTAAGATATATGAAACAATAACCTGATATTTTACAAGTGAAGCATGAACACACATTGCTTTGCATCTTATAGACACAACCAAGCCTTAAAAATACATTGTGGATCACCCCTTTGAGATGAGGAGTTCATTTGTGATTTAGTGATTCATCCAAATAACTGTACACAAGCATTAGTTACGAGTGAGAGGATTCAATAAGTCATGAGTTCATTTGTAAGTCATTTTGAACTTATAACGTAACAAAACTGATCAGAAGAGTCATTTGTGTTGCACTATTCAAATACACACTTTACTTCAGTTAGGATGTGAAAACTCTAATGATTCAGGCAAAAAAAAAAAAAAGGTTCATGAATTGGACGATATGTTTTTCGTACATTTCATTATGTTGCACCACCCACATTAGCAGTTCATTTCAGTTCAGATATGTCTGAACTTCTCTGAAGATAATGAGATTAGCTGCTTTGGGCTGATAAATTAATTTGTGACTCATAGCGAATGAGTAATGTAATAAACCCTTGATAAAGTCACATGTTGGTGAACTGAACTACATACAGTAGTTGTTTTTGCTTTGCATGTATGATTTTGCCCCATCCAAACACACCCAGATTTCTTCTTAAGTTCAGCTATGATTCATGATTCTGCCATTTTAGGCAGATAAGTTGATTTGTCATTTGTTTTGAATGATTTGTGCTTAATAACTCTTAATAAGACCTAATTGTCCATAATTTGTAAGATAATTATTTTTAATGTTGCACCAATCATATACAACAGGGAAAATAAGTATTGATGTCATGTTTTTTTTTTTTCCTGGGAATATTATTTCTAAATGAGCTGTTGACATGAAGTTGAACCAGGGGTCTGTTCTTCGTACCTCGCTTAAATGATCTAAGATTATTTGGCAGATCCTGGATCTTTTAATCTTGATAACTGATCTCTCGCTAATTTGGTTCTTCAAACAAGTTCGCGAATCAGATTAGAATGTCAGGATAAACTGATCTGAGATCGCTGCGTGTGTTGTAAAGGACAGATCTATCGATCCTCGAAACCATGATCAGCAATGCAACGATTGGCTGACGGCACAGCAGTGTAATGACATCATCTGATTAATATTCAATTATCCATGTGAGCAAAATTACATCAAATTAGCAGTAAACGGCTTGTTAAATATGACACGCAATAACCTTCCACATTGTTGTGAGCTCCAGGCTTTACTCTTTTATGTGTCAAGAGTATTCAGCATGTATTTCAATGCAAATCAATGTATTTAGTTCTACATTTAGAAAGATTTTCTTTATTATAGTAGCCGTTTTTTAATCGGTGTAAAGAATAACTGGTTGTTTACAAAAGCATTTTTATATTGATAAAGGTGTCTGCAACTTTTGTGAAGCATCAAATCACTGGCATATTAAATATGAAAACATGTTTATGACTGCATAAATGTATTTTATGTCAGTTTTATCTTTGCACCACTAGGTGGCAGTCTTTGTACTTTCATTTCGAGGGTGCAGATTGCATAAGTTTTATTAATATGTATAACTTTATTTATTTTATTAATAACTATAACTTTATACATAGTTTAAAAATATGTACCATTTTCCCAAGTGTATATAACTACTACTGTAAGAAAATATCAGAATTCGGAACATACTTTCTGTATTATCTTTGCTTGAACTAAGCCGATCTAATCCTGTTTATATGAATTGAACCTGCTCCCGATCAGGTTTGAGCTAGCAGAACTGTTGCTATGACAACAACTCTCGGATCAGCTTTGAAGAACGAAACGATCCTGGATCGTGTCAAACCGTCAATATCCAAATCCAGCTAACTGAGTAATCCACGTACGAAGAACGGACCCCAGATGTTGGTAAAACCCCAAACAAAACAAACCTGAAAATAAATCTAAAAAAAAAACTGAAAAATAAGTGATGTATAATAACAATGGAATGACACAAGGAGAAAGTGAACTACTGAACATACTTTCTGTATTATCTTTGCTTGAACTAAGCCGATCTAATCCTGTTTATATGAATTGAACCTGCTCCCAGTCAGGTTTGAGCTAGCAGAACTGTTGCTATGACAACAACTCTTGGATCAGCTTTGAAGAACGAAACGATGGTGGATCGTGTCAAACCGTCAATATCCAAATCCAGCTAACTGAGTAATCCACGTACGAAGAACGGACCCCAGATGTTGGTAAAACCCCAAACAAAACAAACCTAAAAATAAATCTAAAAAAAAAACTGAAAAATAAGTGATGTATAATAACAATGGAATGACACAAGTAGAAAGTGAACTACTGAAATGTTTGTGGAGATGGCAGCTTAAATCTGCCTCTCATATAAAGAATGAAGTCACACGAATTGCTCAGGTGTGAGTTTTTTACAGACTTCAACAGAGAATAAAACTGTAAGTGGTTCTCTGAATGTCATCTATCAAATTTTATCTTCATTTTGTATTCTCTAGTAGATTCATGTCAGATAATTGGCTGGACCATTCTGCAGCTTGATTTTCTTTCTCTGAAAGCATTTGAGAGTTTCCTTGGCTGTGTCATTGTGTGATCATTGTCTTGCTGAAATGTCCACCCTGATTTCATCTTCATCATCCTGCTCATGTAGATGTTGAACTGAAGCAGTGAATATTAATTTACAATGACGAAGGGCAGAGACATTTCAGCTGTTGTCTGGGCTTTCACTTCCTTTCTACACCTCCCTTTATTTATGTGTTCAATACTTTTTCCCTGTGTCGTTTCATTTTATTATGCATAACTTGATTTGTAAATTAATTAGTTTTATTTTCTGGGCACATATGGATTGCTTTGGTAGGTACCAAAATCTGTTGGTCAGCAGCACCTTTAGAAATATGTTTTCTGAGAAAAATGGTGACATGTTCAATGCTAATTTGCCCCACTGTACACGTGTACATTTTTGTCAGATATGATCAAATAGTCAATGAGCGAGTCAGATTCAGTGTGGATTCTGCCGTTTTAGGCTGAAGAGTTGATTTGTGACTCGTTTTGAATAATATATACTGGGGTTTGTTGCACCATCCAAATACACCCAAAAGTTCAGGTATGACCAAAGTTTGGAGTGGTTTTCTTGTTTTGAACTATTCAAGACAAGTAAAAGATTCAATATACATAAAACTATAACATTCATTCATTCATTCATTCATTTTCTTTTCGGCTTAGTCCCTTTATTAATCTAGGGTCACCACAGCGGAATGAACTCACAACTTATCTAGCATATGTCTTACGCAGCGGATGCTCTTCCAGCTGCAACCCATCACTGGGAAACATCCATACACACTCATCCACACACATACACTACGGACAATTTTAGCCTCCCCAATCCACCAATGCCACATGTTTTTGGAGTGTTTTTGCTGTTTTCTTGCTGTAAGGGCGAACGTGCTACCCACTGCGCCACCGTGCAGCCAAAAGTATAACATATATAATCTAAAAATATATATATGTTAATAATATAATACATATAAACAATTGTTCAGAATTTTTTAGTGCATTATGTTGCACCATCCAGTATTTCATTCTCAAATGCAACACAAATGCTTTTAACTTATTTCTTTCAAAGGGGCTGAAACTGTCACCACTGGCTTGCATGGTTTGGGACTTGTGGAGCTGCACATCATTGGATTTTTCAGTGACATTTATATTAGACTGACCTTTACTAAACTGCACTTTTTAATGTGCTAGAACTTCTACGTTAAGCTGCACTGACGCAATCTACATTGTAAAAGCGCTATAGAAATAAAAAGATTAAATGAATTGAAAAAAAAATGTGGTTTCAATTTCCACCTAAGTGACCTGTCCCGAGTCCTTTCCACTGACCTCATGAGCTCCTCGACTCGGTCATCGATGTCCATTTCCTCATCGGGGGGCTCGAAGGGAAAGGCCCGTGAGGAGACGTTGCTAACAGTGAAGCGGGGTGGCGAGAGTTTCCCATTGGACATAGAGGCAAGGGCGTCCCGTCCATTTTGGACCAGGGGTGCTACAACCGGCATAGAGGTGGGGGCGGTCGGCGGAGGGGAGGTTTCATAACTGTTGCTCGGAGACGGGGAGAGGCCATTGCCACGGAAACCCGTCTGCGTGGCTGTAGAGGTCGTTGAAGAAGAGGCTGTGAGGTTGTTGGAGGAGGTAGTGCAGGAGTTGGAAGAGGTGGTGGCGTTACTGCTGTGATTGATGGCGGAGGTCCCACCGTGAGCATGCCGATGGCCAAACTTCTCCACATGTTCGCGGTCCAGCCGGTCAAGGGTGTCCAGAGCATGCAGGATCTCTTGCTTTGTCATGCCACTCCGACGTAGCCTCTGCAGTAAGTCGATCTGCTCAATGGTAAAACGAGGCTCATCTGTATAATGGGACATTCTGCCAAATAGAGAGAGAGAGATCTGCAGTATTAGAGAATTGATGGCATAGGAAATCCTTAAACTTGTGCTGATGAAACACAACTTGTGTAGAGTGTATGAAAGTCATGATAACACAGCCTAGACAAAGAACAAGTTTTGGTGTAGGGAATGCAGCAGAGACACGCGCATGAGCTCCGAATAAAGCATCATTTTTTCCAAGAAATGTCAAAGTCACCGCACCTTTATCGACCAATCATTGCAACAGAAGTCCGGAGCCTGTCTGAGGTCAAGGCAAAGACACTGCATGCATTACCACAGAATTTTTAATAGACTTTAAACAGCAGAAAGCTGGGACACGTGAGGAGGGGGAAGGAGGTTAACTTTAGGGAAAACTGCCAAGAAAAATTCCATCCGAGGCGGCCAACCTACTTTTAGTGAAGACGCTGAGGATGAATCACTCTCCGTATAGGCGTTTGTCTGAGAATAGTTCTCTCAATGCCAGACTGTTGCCCGCACACACACACATATAGACACACAATTATGCTGTAGCACACTCTGCATTTTAGTGCTGGAGTTTTGAAAGGAAGCTACAACTTGTGACGCTGCAGCGCACAACTCGTGCCAATGCAATATGCATTCCATATGGCAGTGTAATGCAATCACGGAAACGAAAAAAAGGGTGAGGCTTCTTTTAACAAAATGAAGATTTCAACCTCCCTGCGACATTCTTCAAGAATAAATTCTGCTGATGAGCGAATATGACTGTCTGCTGGTGTCTGCACTGCATAAAATGCATAAAAAAAGATTTCTGCTCACTCAAGCACCCTTAAAAAGCTTCAAAAGGTTTAATTATCTAGAGGCATCGGATACAGCAAATCAGCAGAAACAACAATAAATCCAGGAGTTTTTAGGCATTCAGATTTGTCTGTAATTTTCATGCATCTCCTAAAGAACAATACAGTAATCCTATAAAGACATGGGACGATAACCGGTTTCAAGGTTTTCCATGGTTTGGAAAAGTCAAGGTTTTAATACCACTAAAATGTTCTGTCATACCATTCCTAAGGTATATGCAAAGTCTTTTTTTTATGTATTTTTACATATTGTAATGAAATCAGAGTTTTTTAAGCTAATGAAAACAGCAGAAGTCAATGACTTATTTAAAATATTTAGCCTGACATCTTGACTGTTTCAAAATATTATAAATATTTTATAAAACAAATTAAATTGTGTTCAGTTGTGTTACCCAGACATTTAAAAAGAACTTATTTTAGAGCAGTTATCACAATACCGTGATACTGTGAAACCGTCAAACCGTGGTATGTTTAGCCAAGGTTATCATATCGTCAAAAACTTATACCGGCTTATGCCTAATCCTGTAGCAAACAAGAAGTGTGAAAAAAGCAGACAGAATTGCAGTATCGCGTCATGGAATTGGAATTAGCTGTTTAATGTAAAACCATCACAGAGTTCTTCAAGTTTTGGAATAATAAATGGAAAGCAGGGCTATACACTAAATCAAACTGTAATGTGGACCAAAGTCTGTAAATATTAAGCCCTCAAAATAATATTTCAAGTCTGCATGTTCTGTGTAAGTGAATTGAGGGGTTTCATTTATTACACATTCTGAAGCATGTGACCCTCTAGGTTTTCACACCTGCTCTCTCACTGAATGCATGAACTTGATCTCCACAGCTGCTCAGCATTTTACATATATTAAGATCTAAAATCATACAGTGTTGCTTGAAAATCTGTGAAACCGTTGAGCAGCTCAAAGCTTTCTGCTTGATGCCCCTTTTTTATCATGTGAAGTCTCACAAACTAATTTCGAGAGGAGCACTATCGTCTTTTTGGTAGAATCCCACCCTTCCACCCCACCTCCTCCTTTTTCTCCCCATCTAAAGCCTGGTTTATTCTGCGTCAAGTGACCGGCCTAACCCACGGCGCATACAACGCCCGTAGCTGTGCATTTATACTTCTACGCGCTGTCTCTGTGGGTCTGCATTAACCCTTCCGAAACGCTAGTTGGCAGTGAGGTGTTAATGTTCCTCTGTGTCGAGTTTCTTCGCTGCTGTTTTGCTTTTCCTGAACACTTCCGGGATGTACAAGTGGCTCAAACTCGCTCATTTTGAGGCAGGAACCGGCGGACGTGCAACAACTTTAACTATGAGGTAAACATAAAAAAAAAATTTCCATCCGGAGCTCCTTCACGGGACTCCACACTTGTAAACAATCGCTCCATCAGGCTCGCACCATTCACGCGGCTCTCGGTCCCGCCCAGACTCGTCAGCGCTACCAAGCCGACCAATCACAGAGCTTGTGCTACGCGTCGTTGCGACGTGTAGTTACATTTTTTGAGAGGTGCACGTCAGCGACGCCGACGGCCACGGCGAAGGGTTATGCGTCAGCGCCATAGCATATGCCGGCGTTTGACGCAGAAGTATAAATCAGCCTTAAAGGCGGAGCGATCGAGACCTACCTGATCTCGGATCCCCTGATATGCTTCTAGACCGGGCAGTAGCCCTGGGCTTAAATATCTCCGAGCTCAGGGTTCTCTCCCGGGACAGCATGCCAAACCTGCTATAAATGCCAAGCATATCTAAGTGGGAACTCTTGAATAGCATTAAATGTAGGCTGATTCGGGTTTAGGGTGATTAATTAAAAAGAAATTCCATTAAGCAAAACTGTGACTGTCATGCACATCTTATCAGGGAAGCATGGTTGTGTGTACTAAATCATTAATTTTTCTTCTGCGTAGTCCCTTTATTCATCAGGGGTCACCACATCGAAATGAACCGCTAACATATCCAGCATATGTTTTACACAGTGGATACCCTTCCAGCTGCAACCTAGTACTGGAAAACACCCATACATTATCACAAGCACACATATACACTACGGCCGATTTAATTTATTCAACAGCGCAAGGACTGTGAGGGAAACCGGAGCACCCGTAGGAAACTCACGTGAATGTGGGGAGAACATGCAAACTCCATACAGAAACGCCAACTGACCCAGCCAGGACTCAAACCGGCGACCTTCTTGCTGTGAGGTGACAGTGCTAACCATTGAACCACTGTGTAGCCCAGTATTAAATCTAAACACTATAAACAATTGACTCAAGTTGTGAAGTGAAGTATTTTCACAAACTTTCAGATGCACCAGCATGTACTACACAGAGCCGTAGTTAATTGAGAAGCTACATAAATTGCTGTCATTATAATAGAACCATTATCTTGAGTTCACTATCGTCCAATTAAATCGATTTCAATTTTGCATAGCTTATCAGTTTACTACAACACTGCTCCACCTGAAAGCATGTGCTGGATATTTACTAGAACCAGCTTTACTGACAAAATGCACATGAAAAACGCCTTTGATTTATTCAGGGTATCTGCAAGTTTTTGAGTTATATTTAAGACTTTTAAGACCTTTTTAAGCATGCAACTATTATTGACCATCCTTAACACGGTTAATTATACTATTATTATTATTTTTTATTATTATTATTCTATATATATAAATATATATATATATATATATATATATTTATGTGTGTGTATATATATATATATATATATATATATATATATATATATATATATATATATATATATATATATATATATATTATTATTATTATTATTATTATTATTATTCCACCAAAGACTACAAATTGACTTTGGTTCTGCCCATGTTGTTCTGCATGATGATGACCAAAAAGGTTTGAGTAGATTTGTCCAAAATGGTTTCAAAACAGAAACAAAAACTTCTTTATGGTGCCAGTTAGATTGCATTTTCAAGATCTCTGAGACTAATTAAAGCCTTATTTTTATTTTGGAATTTAACACGTTATGGACACCCTGTAACTGTCCAGCACTAACTAACTAAATATAAGTTTCAAGAGTTCACACTTAGCTGATGATTAATTATAAAGCTTGTTTGGCATGCCGTCCCAGGAGAGAGCCCTGAGCTCATAAGATCCTCGAGCTCGGGGCTCCCTCCCGTTTGCAAGGCGAGAGGGAAGTTTGAGCTCAGGTAGATCTCGAGAACTCCCTTGCTGTAGTAACTAATGAAAAGATAGCGATTGCTCTTAAGAGATAACTACTTACTAGGAGCATGTCTATGGTGCCGATTTGGATTAGTCAATTAACTTGTGTTGCATGTTTTTGGTGGGAGGAAACGGGGAAACCCCGGGAAAACCCACATGGGCACGGGGAGAACGTGTAAACTCTGCACAGAAAAGTTGGCTGGCTTTGTAAGGACTAGAACCAGTGACGTTCTTGCTGTGAGGCAACAGTGCTAACCACTGAGCCACCGTGCCACCCATCTAGAAAAGGAGGAGGAGGAGTAGGGTTGGAAGGGGGGATTCTTCAAAATGAAGATGGCTGTCATATGGAACTCAGGGTATTTATAGTGGCTTAGGAATCATCTGATTGGTAAATCATAAATTGAATAATGCGGAGCCGGCTGCAAGCAATAATAAGCATGTGATCCTCTCCAAATTAGTTTATAAATAAACTTCACTAATTAACATTGTGCCTGAAACCACTTACGACTTGACGCTGCATGATAGGATAGTGTATCATCCATTGGACGTGCACTACAGAATCTCGCTGGAATTTGTAGGCTTTCCGAGAATTTCTCACCTACTGTTTTTCGAATTCTATGAATTCAAACATACTACTCAGCTTGCATTTTGTTTTTCACATACTATATAGAAGGGAAGTAAGTGATTTTGAATGCAGCCTATCAGTCTATTAACCTAATATTTACCTAGTGTACATGCAAAATTAATAACAATAATAATTCCTTACATCTAAATAGCGCTTTTCTGCACACTCAAAGCGCTTTACACAATGGGGGGGGATCTCCTCATCCACCACCAGTGTGCAGCATCCACCTGGATGACGCGACGGCAGCCATTTTGCGCCAGACCGCACACCACACACCAGCTGATTGGTGGAGAGGAGACAGTGATGGAATTGAATATGGGGATGGTTAGGAGGCCATGATGGA